GTTGAAGATGTCAATTAGTTAAGTTGGTAAAGTCCTTTTGATGATTGCATTAAAGCACCAGGAATCAAATCTCATCCTAAACACAGGTGAAAGCCAACGTTTTTGATATATATAAAAAATATTGTATATATAATCAGCAATCTTCAGTCAAAAAAATATATAATCAGCAATGAGCTTTCTGTGTTCATCAAAGTACTTATTTCCGGTTATGCTTTTAGTTTTTGGTCACTGGTTTCTCGTGTATACGGTTTATAGAGTTTTTGGCAAACAATGTTTTCTTACAATAATAGACACATGACATCTTGGATTCATGTACGTCTCTTCTCATTGAGTAAAAAGAGAGCAAATTCTAATTATTGTTACATAAGATTGTAAGATTTGGTGATAAGAAAACATTATGTACGAATCATATTCTGTGTATATGCTGACTTGATAGTTAATGCAATATTACCGACATAATAAAAAGAAAAGCCAAAACTGAACCAGGAAAATGGGATTGATCTCAGATTTTGCAATTTTTGTCACCTTTTTAAGTTGATCGACGTTAAATGTTCATTTATAGAAGTGCCCGAATCATATCACCTGGAGAGCGGGTAAATTTATGACGTGCATATAAAATGGCATTATCATCATGACATATATGAGCATGAGAACTCTCAATTCAGCATGTGATATGATTTTGAGATCTTAGGCGGCTCCCATTTTGAGAAATGTAATAATTTACAGAGAGAGAGAGAGATGGGCATGGGAAAAAGGTGAAGAGAGGCCCGGAAATCAGGTCATGGATGGCAGGAAAACATGTGAAATAGGGCTCGTGAAAGTGAAAAATGTTTTGAGGTGAAATTCAACTCTTTGTAGATCAATGAAGAAGCACTCCTGCTGTGGGAATCTGAAGGAGATACTACTCAGAACACACATAAATCCATAAATTTTAGTCACCACCACAACACCTTTAAATGCACCCCGATTCCGTGTTTCTTTCATCTTCTTCCTGCCCAAATCAGTACCAGAGGTCTCTTTTACCAGTTTTCCTTCTGGTCACAGGATTACCGCACCAAGCTAAAGGGCATGAAACTGAACTTAGAATATAGAATGATGGTTCAGGGTAACTGGAAGGTACCCAATAGAATCCCTCTTACACTCTCTTAGGGTTGATTGTTTAAATAACTAACAGTAAATATTTAATCACTAACAGTTGTTTATATTCCAAACACACTTATTTGTTCTATTACTAACCAAGCAAATCCAAATAGAGCTGCCCTGATCAGTAAGAGACTTTGTTATCATCTTGTTGACTAAAATTTGATTTTTGACTGAGATTATGATCTCGAGGTGGTTCTGGGCGAAATTTTCAATCCTAATACAAATGATTTGTTTGTCATTAAGCAGATGTAATACTAGAAGTCATAGAATATCGTTTGGTCCTTCGAGCATAAACCTTTTTATATTTTAGAGAATCATTTTAAGAAAAACACTGAGAGATCTACAGATAGAAGACATGCATACATACATGGATACATTAGTGCATCCATATGCCCATAATTTGCAAGGTTTCCAAACATACATGGATTTGAAATCATCCGCACAATACTCACTAACGGTCACATGGGGCTTCAAAGCTTAATTTTTCTGAAACGTGAAAGCATTTAAAGCAAATCTGCACTCTCCCTTCCTACATAATCCCGCACCATGCTGCTCTTTCCACTGCACTCGGTCTCTCCTCAGTTCCCACACTCACTTCTTCCCCATAGAAACCTTCAGAAAAATCTTCGTTAAAGCCTGGGAAGAAAGGTCCAACCACAAGCAACGGCCGTCCTCTATATGCCTCCTGCCAATACCGGGAAGTCTGGCAAAGGACTTGGGGAAAATGGGTGGCAGAAATCAGGGAGCCCAAGAGAAGAACCAGACTCTGGCTTGGTTCATTTGCTACTGCAGAGGAAGCTGCCATGGCT